ATTGCAGTTACTGTAGACCTGTGAGAGGTTAGGAATGAAGGAAGGGTCTAGAGGGGTGTCCTCACTAATGTCCACACAAGCTTCTGGCTCTCTACTCTTAAAACTTTTAGTTTACAGTCTTTTAAAAGACTGTAAGAAAATTGAAGAGGCTCAACTTCACGTTCATGCAGGAATGACTTTTAATTGGATTATAACAACTGTGGACTTGGATCTTCTGAGCTAATCTAGAAAACCCAGTAGAAGTTTCTACAGTTTTGCAGCAGACTCATTGCTGTCACTGCATCTGATTTGAAGCCTTTTTTTTCATGTTTGTAGCGACTGAGTTAGTGGTAGCAAGATACTCTTGAAATGTGTTCTGCTTGTCTTTTGATTCTTTTCTTGTCTTCTGACCAGTTATTTTCAATGTTTTAGAGGATGTGCAGTGTAAAAATCACGAGAGTAGATGCGTGAGCAGATTTCTCCTCTGAAAGAAGCACGCTGCACTCTAAAATTCTTACATTTGTTTTCTGTATTTCTGTAGAGTGCTGAAAGAGGCACCAGCTGCATCAATAGGCATGAAAATAAAGCAACAACAGCACATCATGGCCAGGATGACACACATGGATGAGGCGGTTGTCTTACCCCAGCACAGACGGCTGTTAGTGTCTGTGGCTTGTGTCCTTTTTATTTATTTATTCATTTTTTTTAAACAAAGTCCTAAAAGCTGTCTTATTTCTCATTTAGACATACATTCTGGGCTCTAAAGTACCCTGAATTTTATAGAGAATAGCATGGTTACACTGTTGTGATGCAGGAAGGGCAACAAGGCTCAAAAGTGACAAGGAAACTATGGAAAGCATGTGAAGGAAGAGAGTTTTAAAAGGTAGGTGCAGGAAAAAATGGTTTAAAGTGGAGTAATCCATTTAAGACATTGAAAGTGTGTAACTGGCAGAGAGAAACACAAAGTATTTCATACTTGGATGGCTTAGTTTTGGTGATGATTAGTAATCTTTTGTCTCTAGTTTGATATTGCCACTAGATTTCATGTTTTTTTTATGTAGATACACCTAGATGAAGAACCATACCACCACCTTGCTGTGTCTGAGCAGGAGTCTTTCCACAGTAATAGATCTTGCTTCAAGTATTTCAACCAGGAGTGTAGCAAAGTTGCAAGAGTTATATGTTTGAATGTTGTGCTTTATCAGAGCACAGAGACTGAATGTTGGATGTGACAGTGATTATCGAGTGAACTAGGAACTGAGCTCGTCTTGGAGAGGAGTTGCCTAAAAATACCGTGATAAATTAAGAGTTGGTGGGAATAGATAAATATTCTGAAAGAGAATGAAGTCTAAGGGATTGAGATACAAGTTTTACTCTTGTGCTCTTGTTTTGTAGAGTTCTGTCCAATAGATATCCGTAGGAGCCACCACCACTCTATGCCATGACTTGGCTTCTTAGGCAAAAGATGCTGAAGAAATATTCTACTTTGCACTCTTGCAAAGGCTAGAGAGGGTGTCTGTAAGAAAATCTGAAGAATTCATTATCTGCTGGTGATGATGATAACAAATGCCACAATACAGTGTGTTTTGAATGCACTTGAGAAATTATGGGTGTCTCATGGAGTAGATGAAAGGGAAGAATCCGTGCTGTGATTGGCTTTCCACAGCATTTGAAGTATTGCAACAGAAGAGAGTAACCAAGCTATAAGAAAAAGGTGATTGCAGAAGGACATGGGGACAGCTGTGAAAAAATAGATACTGAAAATGTGTTTTGTGATGGGAGACTTGAGATAAGTAATAAGCCTCAGTTTTTAAAATGCTGTTTCCAGTTGCTCTTCAGTGTATTGAGACATTACTCCTCAACTTGCTTATCGAAAGACCACTACCTTTTATAACTATTTTTATCACTTTGTAGTGTTTGTGGGTGGCAGTTTTCAATGAAATGTGATTTCTTCTATTTTAGAAAAGTAATGAAATTGAATATATTTCAACATTGGAAGTTCCCATCCTGCAGTATGGCTCTGCATGTTTTTTTTTCCTCTCTTGGATCAGAAAAAAGAATCAAAACTTCAGAATAGCTATTTATTTATTTATTTATCTATTTATTTTGCTGAATAATTAATTTAAAAGCCTTGAAATGACTTAACAAAAGGCTTTTAACTGTATATTTCAGCATACTCAGTGAAGTGACTCAGTTTCTTTATAAATCTGAGGAAGTTGATTTATGAAACATTTGACTAGAGACTTTTATTAGTTTCAGCTTTTTCTTTTGAAATGTTTTCAACAAGGCCATGTTGGATGAGGTCCGCTAGTATTTCAGGCAGGCAAAAGTATTCAACTTAAGTTGTTCTGCTATGGCTGTGTCATTAGTTCACTGTCACAGTGCCAGTGAGCTTTTTATAGTTTACTAATCTGCCAACAAACAACTTCTATCAAAGTGGAAAGTAAGAAATAGTCAAGTCACGTGATTACTTTGCACCACAGGCTTACACTGACAACTGAGATGTACTTTTGATATAAAAAGTCTGAAATCAGGATGTCTGGTAAAGAAGCTGCTCAGGTTGTCAGGCACACGACTTGTTTTCCCCCTTCTTGTTCCGTTATCCCTCTGCTAGATGCAAAATGACTCCTCCCTCCACTCCAGTGTTTTCCCCCTCTTGTTGTAACTGGTAAACATGGCTCATGCATGCTCCCTGAGCCGCTCCTACTGCCTCCTAGACCTCCAGGGACATCTGCTATAGTGAAGCATCAGTAAAACTGGCAGCACGCAAATGTTGTCAAAAAGAAAAATCAGAACGGTAGAAGATGGTGTTGCCATGGGACTTGCAATTACGGTAATCTTGGTTGCTGCTTGTCGATATGGTTTGGAATATCATGTCAGTTTTGAAGTTCATGCTGTCTCACTAATCTGCTTGCTCTCTCTTATCTCTACCTCTTCTCATCCTGCAATGTATTTTCTGCGGTGTTGTTCAGAATTGTACATGTTGCCTGAAATCCAAAAATTTTACCACCTCCCCTTTTAGCTGTGACTTTGGAGTGGAGACTGTTGAATTCCTGTGTAGAGGCAGCTGGTTTCAGTCTGTGAGAGCCTAAACATAGTCAGATTATATGGTAGTTTGTATAACCACATCCATTGTTGAGAGACAGGTATTAGTTTGAGGTTTGTGTGTAGCTGGTAACCTGACTGTCTGAGCAAATCCACTTACAGGCTTTGCTTTACTATATGACCTCCAGTAACCTGTTCAGTGTAGATTTCTGTGACGTTGCCAACCTTACTTTCTTTGGCAAGAATTTAAAACCCAAAGAAGAACATATGAATCCTATTACCCATCTAAATTTTGGGAAGGGCAGAAGATTATGTTTTTCCTATCTTGATGTGCATTCCCTTTTGCAGTTTTTTCTTTATATTGTTTTGTTTCTCCTTTCAGTGTTTGACTACAGCTATAGAGATTACATCCTGTCCTGGTATGGACAACTCAGCAGAGATGAAGGCCAGCTGTACCAGCTGCTATCTGAAGACTTCTGGGAGATTGCCAAGCAGCTGCGACAGAGGCTGAGTCACATTGATGTAGTTAAAGTTGTCTGCAATGATGTAGTGAAAGCTTTACTCTCGCACTTCTGTGACCTTAAAGGAGCCAATGCCAGGTAACAACAAAACTCTGCATTTCATTGGAATTTTCTGTTTCTGTCTTTGCTTTCAGATGTGCTATATCAAAGCAATGAAGAATGTAACACTTTTGTAGGCAACTGATAAAGAAAACAGTTCAGGCTTGTTACCAGTTTTAGAGATCAAGCAGGCATCAGGGCATCTGTAAGACCTGTGGAAGGAAACACTTGTCCTCCTTTTCTCAGAGTTTGGATTCACTGCTATTTCTGTTTCATCCTTGGATCCTTTGCTCACTGTAGGAGGTGGGCCGTGTGAGCAGTTCCTGCAAGTAGTGTGAACCTGCAAGAGAAAGGAGAGGCGCCGTCACAGCAGTCAACAGACAAGAAGATAGTTATTTGCACCTTCTCCAAAATAGCACCAGGGTTAATTCCATTCAGTTTCCTATTTCTTCTAGCCCCGGGAGGCAAAGCCTTGTGGTTTCTGTAAGCAGCCTGTCCTGCAGTAACAAGATTGTTCTACTGGAAAAACGGTTGGCTGGATTTTCTTTCTCTGTTTAGGTTATCTTGCTAATTTAATGAGTTTTCTTTTTCAGCAAGGCTCTCTTTGCTCACTTAAAAAGGTCAGCCATCCACTGAATACTAGAGTTGCAACCAAATTGTAACTGCAAATGGGAACTCTCAGCCTACGCAGTTCCCACATCTGAATTCACAACTTGTGTAGTTGTGTATGGAATTTGGGCCTATGTCTGCACTTACCTGCATTTCAGGTATCCTAATTGAAATATGCTTTGGTTGTTCAGATTTAGACTATGAAGTTGTTTTGCCTACAGTCAGATCCACATATTTTTAACACTCCTTCAGAGGAAAAAGATCAACTGTTTTCTGTCAGTGAACAGCCTGTGTGTTGCTATCGACACTTCTTTCTGTTCTGGAGCAGAAGATAGGGTTAATATATTTGTGGTAGATGCCAGCTTTATGTAAGCTAATGTGTAGGAAATAAAGACAAAAAAGAAACTAAAGGGTGGTTACATTCAAGAAAAGAAGAAATTAAGATGTATGCACATTACAGTAGACCTTGCACTGGATTCCAGATACTACTTTCTTTAATCTCTGGCATATGGTAGAAATCTCTTGGTCAGGTAGAGCTCCTAAATGTGCTCCCTGATTTTTAAGCAGTAGGCTTGCTTTTGTTCTTTATCGCAGTAAAGCGCATATGTTTTGGGAAGATTTTGATTTGAACCGTTAAAGGATGAGGACGGTATTTATTTTTTTTTAAAGCATCAGTGTTTTCCTGTTTGAAGCTCAGGACATAGAATCTACAATTGCAGAATTACTAATTATTATTAATGCTGATTCTTGATGAGGTTCCTTATCTACTGAGAATTATGACCACTTCGTCTAGGTCTTTGTTGGATTGTTATTTCCACTATGTAGAGCTAAAATAAATTCTTTTGGGTATTTTCCAATTAACTTTTTCACTTTGAAAAGGTAAATGCACCTCAGTCAATGCTGGATAAGGTAGACTGCATTAACATAGTAATGAAAAGGTCATATCAAGAATTAATATGATAAGTTAAAAAAACTCAAAAAACAACCCCACAGCTATAACTGCAGATTTTGTATAGTATATGCTGAAATTGGATCCATTGACTGTTTTTGAATACTGTGGAAGGCTCTGAATTCACAAGGAAGAAGGTCTGGTTTTAAAGTGCCTGACAGCAGATTGGTGGCATGATGCAAAATGTGAAGCACTGATATATCGCACGCTGATCATCTAAACTTGCTCAAAAAGTCCAGGAAGCTTTATGGAAATTGCACAGGGATCACCTTTTCTTGGCAGACATAGAGCGGGTTTAAATGCTCTGCATGTACTTTGGCAAAGTCAGCAGAAATGTGACGTTGTGCTCACACGCGACAGATTGAATCTGTCCTGCTGGGTGAGCTGAGCATGCATGTTGTAAACCTGGAGGCACAACCGAAGGCTCTGATGCAGTTCTCTTTGTAAAGGAAAGTGTTTTTTAAGAATAATTTGAGTTTTGTACTAAATTGCCAACTGCTATTGAGTTTACTGTGCTAGAACTTGCTGACTTTTTAAGCTATAGACAGAACTACAAAATGTGTCACTTCTAGCTTGGAAGATAGAGTTTCTTGGAAAGTCTTCAATGCATTTATATGTCTCCATGGTTCAAACACAGAAAATTCTTCCTAATGTAGGGAACACAGACATCTCCTTGATCTACCTTTGCTTTCTGTCAGCGTTTCAAAGATGGTAGATTTAAATTGGCATTCACATATTTCCCTCTGTGTCTCTAATAATGAATCCAGTTAGTTTTGGATGATAAATGTAGTGGAACAGAGACTGCAATTAGAGCAAGATATCTTTCCTGTTGTGATGCCTGTTGGAGCACTGCATCTCATTTCCACTGCATAGTTCATGCTGCAGTGTGACAGCAAAGGGTGTTTTGTCTGTTTTCTGGTGGCTTACAGAATTTATATACTTCTTATACCATCTCTGGAGGACATGCTACCTGTGCCACTTTGTCTCAGTTTTTCTGTGTGACAGCAGATAATTCAATAAAGTAATGGAAAGAAACTGTCTGTGTCCAGGAGGACGGAGACTCCTGTTTCTTCAGTGTGAAGTTCATGTGTTTTGTCACCCAGTGCACATCAGCCCTGGAAATCCCTGTACTTTTCTGCTGAAATAACTGAATAACTTCAACCTGCGATACCTGATTGATCAGGATCTCCAAGGGGATGAAAAGAGGCTGCGACCTTTCAGAATGAGGAAAGGTGCTACAGCTGGCCAACATAAGAACAAAAACGCTTCCCTGAATGAGGGAGAGCATGAGAAGCAGAGAGGCCACTTCCATGCTGGGCAGTGGGAGGCAGGGAATCGTTAGGGAGAAGCCTGGCAGCGTTAGGTCTGTTTCCCCTTTCTTGCATTCTATCCTCTGGCTTTCTTTAATGGCAACTGTCTTTCCTGCACCTGCCAGACACTTCCACAGAGTGAAATAAGGGCAGAGGCACTCCTTTAGCCGTGGGCAGAGCTGTCTGGGGTGACACAGAGCTTGTGCAAGCTGTCGGCAAGGCAAATCCAAACTTTTTCATCTTATGTGCATCACTCGGGGGTACCTTGAGGTGCAGCTGGGGCTCCAAAGGATCCTGTCGCTTTTCGGTTACAAAATTTGTGGCAATTCAAAATATTTTTAGATAGGAAACTGTTTCTTTCCTAATAGCTCAGTGTAGAAATGGGATATGATACTCCCCTGTTTCCAGTGTTAGCTAGTTTATGAGTTTGAGATGTGGAAGAAAATCACCCTTAGATTTATTGGTGGAAGCCACTGCCCTTTTCCCCAATATTTTACAGAATCAGGAGCATGTTTGTAGCAGGGTTAGCCAAGTGCATTCTGCTGGATAGAGAGGGTAGTATTTGGCCTTTCTTAGTTTGTAGCAGCTTTTTGTCCTTTCATTCCTTTATGTTTCATTCAAGTATCTTTCCTTGGCTGCTTTAAGCAGAACATAAGCAAGCTGAATACCAGCAATGCCATTTTATGTGATCAAGGACAGACTATGACCTGAGTAAGGTGGAGTATAATGCTGGAAACGTTCATGTTGGTATGCAGGTGCAGTATTGTCTGTGGTGGCACTGCTCTTTCTGGGGGCTAGAATTACCTGATCCCAGGAATGTGGTCTTACTCTGGTAACATATGTTTGTTGAAAGCAAGAGACAGCTATTTGTCTGGATGAAATACACAGTCAGTATCAGAAGGACTCAGCAAAGTGAAAATAAATAGTAAGCATCTTTCTGTGAAGCTGTCCACATGAAAGGAAGAGGAAGTTCCCTTATGCTTATTGAGGGCTAAGAATAACCATATCAGATATTACTACAGAACTATTAGCGTTTGATAAATAACACTGTGTGCTGGTGGTCTCTAAATTGTAGCGTAGGCAAAATGAGATTTGCCTGCATGACATAAATAGGGAAATGGGATTTGAAGACAGTTAATCCTTGCATCTTCTTGAACCTTCTGAGAAGCAGTGCTTTTTGAACAAATCTCAGTAAGAAGAGGTCACGGTGACACTGCCTTTTTTTTTTTTTTTTACTTTTTTCCCTCTCCTACATCTTTTGGTTGGAAGCGTTTTCTGTTTGTCTTTGACTTACAGCTGGGGCACCTTGGTGCCAAAGGTAGAGGAAGAATTGGTTTCTGCAAATATGGATATGTGGTGTGGCAGGCTGCTTCTGGCAAGTTGACTGCTACAGGACGTCTGATGGGATGCTCAGCAGTATTTATGTGTGCCTGGACTTGCAGCGTAAGTTGTGAATTATCGAAATGGATGCTTGGGGGCTGCAGGCTACTCTCAGTGCTGATTCAGTACCTGTATTTAAGAGCTCAGAGCTCTTGGAGAGTGTGAGGAGGGAAGTGCTGTGGGGAAATTGCTACTTGACTGATCAGTATAGCAAGTGATTTGAGGATTTAAGTTCATATTGTACATGTTTTGATAATATTTCTTTTGTTTTCTATGTATTACAGGGTAAGGAGAGAAGACAACTTGGTTCTTAATTTTTTTGGCTGATGTGAATACCTTTGCACGTATAGGTTATATGACTGGTGTATTTTTTGTGATTACAATATGTAGTGTGATAAGACACTCAGTAAAAGTAGAAGGTTCTGCCATTACAAACTGATCAAGAGCAGTTTGATGCAAACAGAATTTTAGCACTTGAGATTTAACTTGCTTAATCCTGTAGATGCATCCAAGTTGTCAGGATGCCTGCTAAACGCTTCCCACAGTACTTGCTTTTCTTTTATAATTCCATTTGCCACCCACAAACCAGGAATACCAAGAACTGCTTATCGCACTCAGCATCTGGAAAGGAGTATCAAAAGGATTAGTATGAAGTTGAAGAGGTTCGTCGCAGTGGGAGTTGCTGCAAGATAGTGCTGAGAACAAAATAGTCACAAAAAGCCGAGGTCTGAGCACATTATTAAAGTTAACTCATGGGTAGCACCAGGGCTAAAGCTCACCATTGCCCTCAG